TTTCCAATGTCCTGAAAGGAAAGGGGTTGCAGATTTTCTTCAAGAAGTTACGTCTAAGAAGGACCAAGAACAGTATTGGAACAAGAGAGAACAACCTTATACCTATGTGTCCGTAAGTGATTTTTCAAGCGGCTTTAATACTTTTCACACCGGGCAACAACTTACTTCAGAATTTAGGGTTCCATATGAAAAAGCTAAAACCCATTCTGCTGCACTAGTCACACAAAAGTATGGTATATCAAATTGGGAGCTGTTCAAAGCATGCTTTGATAGGGAATGGTTGCTTATGAAACGTAACTCCTTTGTGTATGTTTTCAAGACCGTCCAGATAACCATCATGTCTTTGATTGCCATGACGGTCTATTTTAGGACAGAAATGCATGTTGGCACCGTGCGAGATGGTCAAAAGTTTTATGGTGCTATGTTTTTCAGCTTGATCAATGTAATGTTTAATGGACTAGCTGAACTAGCATTCACAGTGATGAGGCTCCCTGTTTTCTACAAACAGAGGGACTTCTTGTTCTATCCTCCATGGGCTTTCGCTTTACCAGCGTGGCTTTTGAAGATTCCGTTATCTCTTATCGAATCTGGAATATGGATCGGTCTTACATATTATACTATCGGTTTTGCTCCTTCCGCTGCAAGGTACATTTTCTTTCTTCTAGCCCTCATGTAGAACTTTTCTTAATATTCTTTCGTTTTCATTCTCTTGAGTGTTGAACTAACTAAACTTGTGCCAATATATAGGTTTTTCCGGCAGTTGCTGGCATACTTCTGTGTGAATCAGATGGCCCTTTCCTTGTTTAGATTCCTTGGAGCAATTGGAAGAACAGAAGTAATTTCTAACTCAATTGGGACCTTCACATTGCTGATTGTATTTACTCTTGGAGGCTTCATTATTGCTAAAGGTAAAGCAGATGATCCCTTGTGACACAAGTACAAAATAAAACACTATACATAGGTTTTAGCAGATAGTACAACATTTGAGTAGATACAGTGGACATATAAAATCTGTTGGAGCTACAGAATCAACATTTGCTATATTTTATATTTCTTGCTTCACAGATGACATTCAGCCGTGGATGACTTGGGCCTATTATATGTCCCCTATGATGTATGGACAGACTGCTATTGTTATGAATGAATTTCTCGATGAGCGATGGAGTAGTGTAAGATTTCACCACGTCCTTCTCTTGTTGACTATTCTTTTTAAATTGTAATGCGAAATCTGTTATGCTATATGGTGCAGCCCAACTATGATACCAGCATCAACGCGAAAACAGTTGGAGAAGTCTTGCTTAAGAGCCGGGGCTTCTTTACGGAGCCATACTGGTTTTGGATCTGTATCGTGGCATTACTTGGGTTTTCTTTGTTGTTTAATCTCTTTTACATACTAGCCTTGATGTATTTGAACCGTAAGTGCTCGTATTTCTACTTCTCCTGCTATTCTAGACTTTGGAAGAGAGTGATTTTCTAGTTGACAAAGTTTTGAAAAAAATATTTCTTCAGCTCTTGGTAACTCTAAAGCCGCAGTTGTGGAAGAAGGTAAAGAGAAACAGAAAGCAACAGAAGGTGATCTTTGACATTTTTAATCTTCAGCTATCTTTTCTTTTCTTTATGTGTCTTGTTTCTTCTGACTATGCTGAGAGATTGCAGGTTCTGTACTGGAACTAAATAGTTCTTCAGGTCATGGGACAAAGAGAGGAATGGTTTTACCTTTTCAACCACTTTCTCTTGCATTCAAAAATGTAAACTACTATGTGGATATGCCTACAGTAAGTAACTACGTCTCATACTATAGTCAGACTTCACTAATTATGTTACAAATGCGCCTTAAGTTTCATTCGTTGTACCTTAAAATATTTCAGGAAATGAAGGCGCAAGGAGTTGAAAGCGATCGTCTTCAATTACTAAGAGATGTTGGTGGAGCTTTCAGGCCAGGAATATTGACAGCATTGGTCGGTGTTAGTGGTGCAGGTAAGACAACCTTAATGGATGTCTTGGCTGGTAGGAAAACAGGAGGCTACGTCGAAGGGAGTATAAGCATATCTGGTTACCCAAAGAACCAAGAAACATTTGCTCGAGTCAGTGGTTACTGTGAACAAAATGATATCCACTCTCCACATGTTACCGTTTATGAATCTCTTATCTATTCAGCTTGGCTTCGTCTTTCCGCCGATATAGATGCTAAAACAAGAGAGGTAAGTATATTATTATGCAAAAAAATTCACTGTTTTCTCATAATCGTTTGCAAGACTTAATACACAAGTAAACTCGTTTGCTTATTTCTGTGATTGATAGATGTTTGTTGAAGAAGTAATGGAGTTGGTGGAGCTCAAACCTCTTAGAAACTCTATAGTTGGTCTTCCTGGGGTAAATGGTCTTTCTACAGAACAGAGGAAAAGGCTTACTATTGCAGTTGAGTTGGTAGCAAACCCATCAATAATCTTCATGGATGAGCCAACATCTGGTCTGGATGCAAGAGCTGCCGCTATTGTTATGCGCACTGTTAGGAATACCGTTGATACAGGGAGGACTGTTGTTTGTACAATTCACCAGCCTAGCATCGACATTTTTGAATCCTTCGATGAGGTTTGCTTCCGAAAAATCACATTTTTGGTCCCAAAACAGAATTAAAGAAAACTTAACAAGTCATCTTTAACTAATGTAGCTTTTGTTGATGAAACGTGGAGGCCAAGTTATATATGCTGGAAGTCTTGGGCATCAATCTCAGAAACTTGTTGAATACTTTGAGGTGAATTATCTGCTTTTTCATCTCTTGGTCATATATATCCATGGAAGTAACTATATCTAGAACGCTACTTGCAGGCTGTTGAAGGGGTTCCAAAGATCAAAGACGGATACAATCCTGCGACGTGGATGCTTGACGTCACTACTCCTTCAATAGAATCACAAATGAGCTTGGACTTTGCACAAATATTCGCCAACTCCTCTCTTTATCAGTATGTTTAAGACAAATTCTAATACTAAAACAGAGTGTTGCTCTGTCTTTTTGATCCGAACTTGATGTTCTTTTTAGGAGAAATCAAGAACTCATAACAGAGCTCAGTACTCCACCACCGGGATCAAAGGATGTCTACTTCCGAAACAAGTACGCGCAATCGTTTTCTACTCAAACCAAAGCTTGCTTCTGGAAACAGTATTGGTCATATTGGAGACATCCTCAGTACAATGCCATTCGGTTTCTCATGACAGTGGTCATTGGTGTCTTGTTTGGTCTAATTTTCTGGCAAATAGGAACAAAAATGTAAGCCATTTCTCTTTTCTTTATTCCATTATTTAACCATCATTTTATAAAAACGTGACTAACACATCTAATAACCAAAACAGAGAGAACGAACAAGACTTGAATAATTTCTTTGGAGCCATGTATGCTGCTGTATTGTTCCTCGGTGCCACCAACGCTGCAACAGTTCAACCCGCAATTGCCATTGAGCGAACCGTGTTTTACCGCGAAAAAGCCGCTGGAATGTACTCTGCCATTCCCTATGCAATTTCTCAGGTTACAACCATTTTAATAAAAAATTTTACTTGTTATATAATTTTTTTCCTAATATATGGTTAAGCCACAATCAGAACTCAAACCAAAAATGAATCTAAAAACGGTGCAGGTAGTAGTGGAAATCATGTACAACACGATACAAACCGGAGTTTACACGCTAATCCTATACTCAATGATTGGATGTGACTGGACTGTGGCCAAATTCTTGTGGTTCTACTACTACATGTTAACAAGCTTCATCTACTTTACGCTATACGGTATGATGCTTATGGCCTTGACACCAAACTATCAGATTGCCGGAATCTGCATGTCCTTCTTCCTCAGTCTTTGGAATCTCTTCTCCGGTTTCCTCATTCCAAGACCGGTAAATTAAGCAACTGACATTCTATAATATCAACAAAAGTGTTTAAGAGCTTAACTTTAAATTTTGTTTGGATTAAAATGCAGCAAATACCAATATGGTGGAGATGGTACTACTGGGCAACACCTGTGGCTTGGACATTGTATGGACTCATCACATCTCAAGTAGGAGACAAGGATTCAATGGTGCACATCAGTGGAATCGGAGACATAGATCTGAAAACGTTGCTCAAAGAAGGGTTTGGGTTTGAACATGACTTCTTACCAGTTGTAGCGGTTGTTCACATCGCTTGGATCCTGCTCTTTCTCTTTGTCTTCGCATATGGTATCAAGTTTCTGAACTTCCAAAGAAGGTGAAGAACCTTAATAGAAAGAGTTTAAATCTTTATAGAATAGTGTTGAAAGTTTATGAATTCATTTAAAATTTCTTTGGAATGCTCTTTTTTTTATTTTTTAAATTCTTTTGTCATTTGGTTAGTAATAAAACCAGCCTAAGTTATTATAAAATTATGAACTTCAATATGATTTTTTCCAAAATTAGTCCACTTGATATATTCTATATTCCCTAGTGATTATCGTTGGAATGATATTTGTGTATTTTTAGACTCATCCTCAAATCAAGAAAAAGTGTCTTTATTTTAAAGAAAACATCACTATTGGCAAATTGTGCTCATCCAATTACTGCAGAGCATAGAACTCTTGGTTTGAGATGATCATAGAGGTGATGTTATTGTTGCGGTGAAGCTCCAGAAATGGATGACCGCAAACTTTGGGACGATTCCAACCCGAGAAAGGGGAATTAACCAGCGGTGGGCATTCTCACACTGGAACATAGCCTCATAACAACCATGTTCATTTTTTTTTACTTGAAGCACAGACAAAAAATAATGAAGAGATAGTACATGAACATGGTCGGTCCACTGCAGAGCCAACATTATTTATACGCATCTAAAACGCAATTAAAATATCTAATACAATATTACAACATATTTTTCATTTTGGAATTGTCCATTGAGAAAGATGGGGATCGAACCCTTTTGGTGATCGAGAACCTGGCAAGATGGAAGACCACCGGCCTACATGTCATTATTTTTGTGCGTTTTTGTGTTTTAAACTTAATGTATGAAGGAAGAGCTATTGATCTGCACGATATACGAATGCAGCTTTCCGGTATTCTGCAAGTGCCCATAATGGGAAGATGTCATTGTATGTAGCATAATGTATCATGCATGTCTTCATGGATGCACCTAATAGTTCCTACACACACATAAAATAATGCGAGTATAAGATCAGAATATATATACACATCTTTTGCTAAAGCAAGAGCAAAATACGGATCAACTTGACCAACGGTCTCGTTTGCAATCACCATAGTTTCAAACAAGAACATATTGAATGTTCTTATCAAAGAAGGTGTCTGAAAATTACCTGTTGAGGAAAATCCCCTTTTTCTAGTTGCGAAGTGATGATCAATTTTGCAGCACGATGAAGAGGTGTAATATCTCTCTTGGACTGTGGTATACATATAAGCAGAAGAAACAAAATGGTAGGTGTCAAGACAACTTTCTTGTACTTGGAAAAAATACAAATGTAAGATTTAAAATGTTTGAACCTGTCCAGCATGAATCAGACCTAACATAGCCCACGCGGTTTGCACTAGGTTTGATCTATTCCCCTCTAATGGTATGTATCTCTGCATATAGACCATATTATAAGGATTAACACTTTTTCAAAATTTTAGGTAAAATCTATATACTAGGATTTCGTGCTGATTAATAAAAATACCTGCTCAGGGCATGACAAATAGCTTTCACCCCAGCCCCCATCATCATTTTGAATCTTAAGCAGGAAATCTACACCGTTTCGCATAGATAGACAATTGTTGTATGTCTTACCAATCGCTGCTAGGCCGCTAAGAGCAAACCATGTGGCATAAGTGAAAAAAATACCCCAGCTTCCGTACCTATACCATTACTCAAAAACAAAAATGATTTTGTTAGAGTTCTAAGGAACCATATTCATCAAAAATGTCTTAACCATATTAAATTAGCCTACCATGAACCATCTGGCATTTGTTTGCTTTCTATGAATTGCGCTGCTTTCTCAATCGATTTAATGATCTCTTTTTTCCTGTGATTCGGATGTAGTTGTTTGAATATAACCAAAGCTTGTATAACAGCTGAGGTACATTCGGTATATTCACGCTCGGTCATAGCATTAGCAAAAAAATCCGTGGGATTCATCAACTGCAACACCAATTACAAAGGTTATACTTCAGATTTTCTTTAAGAATATTGTTTTAGCTTAACTTCGCGATAAGAAAATTGTTGTTATTTGTTTTAGCTCTTACTTCCAACCATTTATAGGCGCGGACAGGTTCCCATGCAGTAAAACCTCCATTTTCACTCTACATTACATGAAATCACGAATATTATTTAGAGGCATAGTACTTTCAACAATTTTAGGTTTATATATAAAAAACTCACCTGTAGAGATAGCATGAGATTAACAGAATCATATAGTTGTTCCAGATTGATTTTCTTGCCAATGACATCAGGTGGCATCGTGGAAAGCAACATGCAACACTACAAGAACAAAGAAATAAAAATTTAGTTGAGGCAGAAATCTTGTGAAAACTTTAGCCAACTTGTTAACTAATTTGATTACCTTAGCAGCTTCAGCTGTACAATCTGAAACTTGCCAACCTTGATCTTGATCAGAAAGAGTCCATCCGCCTTTGGAAATGTGGCGATACATGCTCTTGAAGTCACCTGAAGGGTTTTCTCTAATCTACAAAGTTGTTTGATTTAGAAACATTTATTTGTTCCATAGAGCAAATTCAAGATACAAGACTATACTAATTAACAAGGATATCAAACCTGTGATTTCTTCAGAGCCGGTCCGGAGGGCAAGCAAGTGAAGCCATCGCTTAGGGTCTCACATTATAAAATATTTTTTTTGGGAGAATTTTTTTTTTTACATTAACAAAAAGGCCTAAATTTTTAGTTATGCGTAGGGTATCAAAGAAAAATTTGAAACTTTGGACCGGCCCTGGATTTCTTTATGTAATCGTGTGCTCTCCTGAGCACGTCATAGGTTTCATCGCATGGATCACTTGCAAGTAAAGCCTGAACTGCAAACCCCGTCACCCAAAGTTGACTTCCAAAGCACTGCAAAAATTTGGAATGTTTAAGAACTTTTCTCGACTAAAGTATGTAAGATACTCACATTAATTGGTTAGGTGTGAAAGTAACTAGTGCCTTATATAGTTAGCTTTTGTTGTGACTTGCACTCATGAGTATAGGTTCATATTTAAATATGTTAAGTGTTATGTTTATTCTATTAGAACCTGCATTTTCATTCCATCTTCAGCGACCCACACATCAAGTCCGGAATTCTTGAAAGATGTTTCTTAAAGTGATCCCCGTCCGGGTTGTCAATCCAGCAAGCAAGCATGCACAAAATCTGTGTATAATTATCAACATATAAACCTTTTTTGAGAGACTACTATGTGCATAATTTTTATTAGGGTTGCTCAATGTTATACCTTTTCAATACTTCCAATGGTGATATAGTGACTGTTTTCGTCCTCATAATGTATGTGTTTCATTGCAACCTGAAGAGCCTTATTTCTTACAAGCTTATTTAACGGCCAACTTGCAAGGAAAGGCTCCACGAAAGTGTGGAGAGTATCCCATATCAAATCTTGAACCAGAGGATGGGGATAATACGTGTCTTCCTACATGGGTCAATGATGTAATGTTTCCATATTTGTTCTAATGATAGAGAAATTTAAAACCATACCTTGTTGGATATGGGCTTCACCCACAAAATGCCATTTGGCCCAAACAGAGACCCAACTATTTATCGGGCCTGTTGTCTCTCCAATTCAGCCCACCAAGCTTGGAGGGTAAAATGGTAATTTGCTGAGGAAACAGAAGAGACCTTAGGTCACAATTCTTGTCCTATAAATAAAACACTATTTGTAACAAAATGGGACACAAGGGGAATATCCAGAAAATCAGAGAATTATCCATAGCGTATACTTTCGTTCGTAGTCCTTGACGTATACGGTCGTTGGTTGTTCGTAGTTCTTTGCGTAAACCTTCGTTCGTATGTCATAGTTCTTTGCGTATACGTTCGTTGGTTGTTCGTAGTTCTTTGCGTATACCTTCGTTCGTTAGTCATAGTTCTTTGCGTATACGTCGTTGGTTGTTCGTAGCTCATAGTCTGTACGTTCGTCATTTGCTCCCTGTAACTAACCAATCTCGTTCGTCGTTAATAAAGAAGTCACTTCGTTCTCCCCGAAAATCCTATAGTTATTTGTTGTTACAACCTCGGTACAAACAATACCTTTGCGCATAGATGCCGCGCTTTGTTCCATTTGATTTCTTCATAAGGTTGTACGTGAAGTTCTTCACGCAGTTGCATAATAAGTGGTGTAATTGGACACACAAATTTTTTCCCATATAGATATGAGATGGGCATATATGTTACCCGGGTATAGCTTAAAGTTTTTCCTGTATAATATTTGCGTCAAGGCATACATTTTAAAACAATAATATACACTCAAAAGAATATTTCTGTTCCAGTTTCAAGTTGATTCATATTCATATATTTACAAACCTAGGTGGATTGGAAGGAAAGAAGGTAGCAACCAAATCTCGGGAGGCATCGGGTTGATTCCAGACCAATCATAGATACCAAGTACCTACATATATAAAAATGAATTTTGATGGTAGTCCTACAAATTTCGACATCTCTCAGCTAAATTAAATTATGGTCCAAAAGATTCACCGAGAGCCAAACTTTTCCCCAACAAGGAATATATGTCACACCGCCATGGCTAAGAATCCATTGTCTGGCCCGTTTGCATGCGTTTTCTACTCCTTCATCGGGTCCTACTCCAACCATACGCAAGCATATGTAATTCAGCGCGGTGCTGAACATAATGCTCTTGCTCTCAATGTGGAATCCCCATCCACCATCTTCGTTCTGAAAATTAAGGGATATAAACATAATTCCTAAGGAGATCACTAATCGAAGCTTTTCTTTAATATCCAAACCGTGTAATTTGGCAGCTCAAAGTATACCTGGTGACAATAGATATATCGGAGCATTTCTTTGCGATGCTCTGCATCGAATACCTCTTCCAAGTGTCCAGTAATGTACAAACAAAATACCTACAAAAAGTTTTCTTTATTTCATTACTAATCCCTTTTTTGTCAACAACATGAAATACGCAGATTTAAAAACTAGTACACAAAGACGCTAATACAAACTATTATGATATAAATCTTTTTTTTTTTTTTTTTTGAAAAAGAATTATGATACAAATCTTGATATTGATATCTTGTGTTTTTGCTTCTTTTTAAGTTTTGTTTCTCTTGGTTTTTCATCATTTTGCATTCTTGTTTAGGTCCTTAGGTGCATATTTCCATAGCATTTCTTACTTTTAGGTTCTTGGAGTGGAGCATTGAGTTTTAGAAGCAAATGGAGTTAAAAGAAGTGAAGAATCAAAAAATCAAGAGGAGGATGAAAGCAATAGACCAGTTGGTCGATTGGGACCAAACCAGACCCGCGAACGAGAAGGAATCGAGGAAGCAGTCGACTAATTGGTCGATTTCTAGGTCGATTGACTGGTCGATTTCCTGGTCGATTGGGTACTTAAACCGGGTCAAAACCCAGTTTGTTCCGGGTTGACCCGGTTCGTTTTCTTTTCCTATAAATGTGTCTAAACCTAATTTCTAGATTTCTCATGCTACCTAAGCCTAGTTTTCTGAATTTCTCATTGTAATCAAGTTCAAACCTTTGTGATTCTTGCTTTTATATAAGTATTTCTTTAGATTCAACTTCTATCTATCTCTTATACTCTTCTTCTAACATGAATCTTCAAGGATTAGTGTCAACTCCTTGGATTTTCATGGCTTTAAGTGAGTAGTCTTCTTAGAGCTTTTGGGTCAAGTAGATTAGGGTGATTAGGTGATGATTTGTGATGCTTAGGACTTAGTCTTAATATATCCTTACTCTCTAGGTGCTCTTAGTGCTAGATTAGTCTTGATTAAGATAGTCTAGATCATAGGAAGTTTCATGCCCGGAAGGTGTTCGATGAAATTCCCGAAAGAACTTAGTGAGTGCTTAGCATTCCTAGCCAATGGAAATTGATGATTAGGATGCTAGGTGGTTAGTTAGGCTTGAAATTAATGCATATTAGTCTTGTGATTGCCAATGGAAATTGATGTTAATTGCTTGATTAGTGTAGAGTTATTGCCATGGAAGTGGATTAGCTTAAATTAGTGATCTTAGACCTAAGGATTAGCAAATGATTGATTGTATTAGCATCATAGAATTATCCTTTGAACACCCAAGTCAATAACCTTAACCCAAAGGCTTATTCATTTAGTATTTTCGTCTTTGACTTTTTGTTGACTTTCGTTGACCTTTATAAATTGCATCTTTCTTATTTATTTTGCTATTGCTTTATGTTTATGGGTTATTGCTTAGCTTATACACTTGTTTAGCTTTGTCAATTGCTTTTGGTTTGTTTATTTCATTTGCATTTTAGTTCCTTTTGTTTTCATTTCATTTAGGTAGTTAGTTTAAAACCAATCCTATATTTGCTTAGATTAAGAAATTTTGTGTATTCTTAGTGTCTTAGATCTCTAGTTCTCTGTGGATTCGACCCTTAAGTGCTATAAACGATAACCATTAGATTGTGGTTTTTGGACCTTGAGGAAATATTAATTGATAGAAAACCTCCTAATCAGATATCAAAACAAGTTCTTCTATTAATTCTACGTGTGGAAAACCTAAATCTCTGATCTATTCCTAAAAATATTCGTCGTACACAAAATTTTAGAAACTGATAGTATCAAATAAGAAGAAACATACTAATGGAGGAAGCATGAAGAGAGGTCCGGTGAACTCTCCTGGCCAGTGGCCGTCAGAGGCCTGCAAAGCTGAAAAGAAAGCAACTCCTCGCCGTAAAGCATTCGTGGCTTTTTCATATGTTATGGCTTCGCCGCGGTCAAGTTTTACCGGCGGAATCACTTGCTCAAATTTTGCCTCTTTCAAAAACTGTGGGTACGATCAGCCCGGGCGAAAAAGGAACAATACGATTTAGTTGACTATTTTAAACTTTTATATGTTTCTATTATAAGAAACTAGGTTATGAACCCCGCGATATCGCGGGGGAACTCATTTTCAACAAATATATTTTATTATGTTTATGTATTAAATTATTATTATAATATATTCAAATAATAGAATTATTATATAAAATTAACTATGTCTTAAAGTTATATCGTAAATATTTTCTAAAGATATTAAAAAAAATTTACGAATAAAAATGTAAAAAAAAAATTATGATTAAAAAACACTTTTGAAACATTTTTTGTGAATATAAAATTATTTATAAGTGACAATAACTAACGAAGAGTTATAATATGAGAAATTGTTAAAAATGCCCATTTTTCAATACCCTTTTTTTAAAATGCCCCTTTTGAGAGTCCATTTTTAAGTTTGCCCTCTTTTAATTTTTAATGACCATTTTATCCTTATTTGAAACAAAATTAGGTCCACAAAATACAAAATATTTTTTGGCGGAAAAAGTGATCCCGAAATTTTTTGGCGGAAAACGTGATCCCGTAATTTTCCCGCAAAATTTTTTTTTTCGGGAAAAGTGATTCCGCAATTTTTTTGGCGGAAAAAATTTACAAGGTATTTTAAAGGTTTTACAGAGTATTTACAAGTGTTTTGTAAGGTTTTACTATGTATTTTAAAAGGATTT